GTACCTTGGTTGCGGGCACATCCCCAGTAGGGGGTGTGCAGGAGGCAGCTAATCGATGTTTCTCTCTCATCAATGTTTCTGACTCTCTATCCCTCTCCCTTCCTCTCTGTAAAAAAAAATCAATAAAATATATATATTTTTAAAAAGGATATAGGGAAATGGCACTTGGACAGGACGAGTGGGGAGTGAAATGTGCTGTAAGGCACTTAAGCTATTTAAGTGACCACTTAACACTTCACTTAGGTTTTCTGTGCCTCTGTTTCATCACCCATAAAATGGGGACAAAAATGCCTCTCACTGACTTGTCCTAAGGATTAACTGAGATGATATTTGTAAGGCATCTGACATATCTCCCAGCGTACGATAAGCCCCCAATATATCAGAGCTGCTATAATTAATAGTATTAACATACCATCTTTTAGAAGACATATTTAATACACAGGAAAAGCTGCTTTTATTCATGCATGCATTCATTCAGCAATTTTGACTGTCTAATATGTGCCAGTGAGATAGTTTAACAAATAAAAATTATTATTCAGCATAATTTGTAATGCAAAGTCTTAGAAAACAATGGGGGATATTTAGGTAATTTTGATATGGCCACTCAGCATTTATATATATACAAGCCTAAGCAACCAGCTGACTGCTCGACCAGTTGCTGTGATGCGCACTGACCACCAGGGGGCAGACACTCAATGCAGGAGCTGCCCCCTGATGGTCGGTGCGCTCCCACAGCAGGAGCACCGCTCAGCTGACCAACGGGTGCCAGACGCAGGGCTCACAGCTGGCTCCCGCAGCCCTGAGACCACAGCAGAGCAGCAGTGAGGTTACTGAGCAGTGGCAGCGGCAGGTACAGAGGGGCTGGGATGAGCAGGAGTGGCAGGTGGGAGCGGCAGGCAGTGTTAGACTGCCAGTTTCGGCCTGATCACCGCAGGCCATACCAAGGGACCCCACTGGTGCTCGAATCTATGCCCCAGGCCTCTAGTAATATTATAAAAGTTACTATTGGGAAAAGAACCCCAAAGAGTTTATAATAACTTGGAGAAGTGCTTATGTTATAACTAGAGGCCTAGTGCACAAAATTCGTGCATTTGTGGATGGGGGAGGTCCCTCAGCCCAGCCTGCACCCTCTCGCAGTCTGGGAGCCCTTGGGGGATGTCTGACTGATGGCTTAGGCCAGGGGTGGGCAAACTTTTTGACTCGAGGGCCACAGTGGGTTCTTAAACTGGACCGGAGGGCCGGAACGAAAGCATGGATGGAGTGTTTGTGTGAACTAATATAAATTCAAAGTAAACATCATTACATAAAAGGGTACGGTCTTTTTTTTCAATAGTTGTATTCATTTCAAACGGGCTGGATCCGGCCCGCGGGCTGTATTTGCCCACGGCTGGCTTAGGCCCTCCCCAGACAGCCTTAGCGCTGCCACAGAGGCAGGAGAGGCTCCCGCAACCACCGCTGTGCTCACCAGCCCTGAGCCTGGCTTCTGGCTGAGCAGCGCTTCCCCTGTGGGAGCACTCTGACCACCAGGGGGAAGCTCCTGCATTGAGCATCTGCCCCCTGGTGGTCAGTGTGCGTCATAGTGACCGGTTGTTCTGCTGTTCAGTCAGTTTGCATATTGGCCTTTTATTATATAGGATGGTAGATGAATAAAGCCAAATATAAATGTATAATGTGAGCTCAAGCATAGTTAAGAAATGACAGTACACCTGTGCGTAGGAAAACCCCAGTGAGTAGTATCATTTCTGGGGGTCACGGGTATCTTGTCACCTTCTGGACTACTGTTTGGCTGCTTGCAGAAGGGGCTAGTGGAAGGGTTGCTGACCAGCATAGCATGTTTGAGACATGCTCCCAGATAGGGGAAGGAATTCACCAGGCTGTGGGACAGTGCAGGTGGAAATTGCTCCACTCATAACGAGGAAGGCAGCCTCCTGTCAGGTAGAGAATTTAAGAAAAATATGTTTTTATTAATTTCAGAGAGAGGAAGGGAGAGGGAGAAAGAGAGAGAAACATCAATGATGAGAGAGAATCATTGATCGGCTGCCTCCTGCGTGCCCCATACTGGGGATGGAGCCCACAACCTGGGCATGTGCCCTGACCGGGATTCGAACCATGATCTCCTGGTGCATGGTTGATGCTCAACCACTGAGCCACAACGGCCAGGCAGCAGGTAGGAATTTTATCACAGGTCCTTTCTGATGTCAGGGGCTCTTTTCTGGGTCTAGAAATGTCTAGAATGTTGCCTAAGCTCTGCTTGCTCCCAGAGGCTGCCATCGCTTCTGAGTAAAGGCCTGTACACCAGCTTCAGTTCCTGCTTCCCACAGTCCTGGCTCAACACACACGACTTCAAGTCTTACATCTGTAACACCATGAGCCTGTGGATTTCAGGTAAGAGGTGGCTAGGGAAGCAATTCCGGAAATACCCTTCCCACCGGAGTGTGTTCTTGTGTGCCATCCCTTCATCGAGGCGGATGTCCTCTCCTCTCCTGGACATTAAAGAACAGTGTGCGCTTAGAGCCGCGGGTCCAATTTCCCTGCTTCCTCAGAACGACTCTGAGCCATCCCAGTCCCCGGCTTGTGTCCGGCTACCTCTGCAGGCCTCAGGTTTGAGCGCAGCCCCATTTGCTGTGCACAAGCTGCCTTTGTGCTGTGAGCTGATGGACCCAGAACTCAGGAACCCCAAAGCCGAATGCCGGTGAGAGCATCGCACCCTCCACAGCCCTCGCCTGAGTGAGGCCGGCGGCCCACCTGCGTAGTCTCCCCTTGTCGGCAGCACACACGGTGCCGGTATGATGTTTGCTTTCCCTTCTTTCCTTTTTTTAAAAAATATATTTTTATTGATTTCAGAGAGGAAGGGAGAGGGAGAGAGATAGAAACATCAATGATGCAAGAGAATCATTGATTGGCTGCCTCCTGTCCACCCCCTACTGGGGATTGAGCCCACAGCCGGGGCATGTGCCCTGACCAGGAATCGAACTGGCAGCCATTTGGTGCACAGGATGACACTCAACCAACCGGGCCACACCAGCCAGGGCTCAGCACAGACATAGTTAAGGTCACTAAAAGCCACCGTTATCGAGAGGTTCCTGTGCACTAAGTACTCTGCTAAGTAAGCGCCTGTCACATTTCCTGCTGTGCTGGCGGTCTCTAAGCTTACTCCCCCCGTAGGGGACCTGCTAAGAGAACTCGCCGGTGTGTTCATGGCTGAGATGTATGACAGCGACGTGGTAGGATGCACAGCGGATCGTAGGGGAGAAGACAGTCAGGGTTGGGAGGAGTCCGTGCAGGCTTCCGCATGCTCTCTCCCTCCCGGGAGGAGTTATGCAGAACCCTCTCCTTCTGCAACGAACATGTAGCCCCCTGACCGTGACGTTCCTGCCCAGAATCCCACCAGAGAAATAGCACCCAAGACTTTTGGGGGGTGGTCGTGCAGCCGCCTCTGTCCACATGCCCCAGATTCCAGAAGAGCAGAGGTTCAGCATAAGCCACATCATTTACAAGCAGTCGAGGCACAGTGACCCCCTCTTGTCCACGCAGTGGTTCTCAACCTTCCTAATGCCTCGACCCTTTCATACAGTTCCTCATGTTGTGACCCAACCATAAAATTATTTTCGTTGCTACTTCATAACTGTAATGTTACTACTGTTATGAATCGTCATGTAAATATCTGATATGCAGGATGGATTTTCAGGGGTCGCGACCCACAGGTTGAGAACCGCTGCACTAGGGAAAATGTTTCCCCCCAACTTTATTGAGATGTAATTGACATGTAGCCCTGTGTAAGTTTAAGGTACAATGTGATGACTTCATACGCGTATATACTGCTAAGAGTTTACCATAACAAGGTTGACTAACGCATCCTGCACCTCACGTAATTCCCATTTTTTGTGGTGGTGGTTATGATGAGAACATTGAGGATTTACTCTCAGAGCAACTTTCAAGTAGACAATACAGTATTGTTAACTATAGTCACATAATGGATATCAAATCCTGAGAACTTGTTCCTCCTATAGCTGGAAGCTTATACCCTTGGACCAACACCTCCCCATTTCCCCACCCACCACCTCCTGGCAGCCTCCCTTCTACTCTCTGCTTCTGCGTTCAGCTTTTTAAGATCCTAACCATAAGTGAGATTATGCAATATTTGTCTGTGTCTGACTTACTTCACTTAGCATAGTGTCCTCAAGGTCTGTCCGTGTTGTCACAAATGGCAGGATCTCCTTTTCGTGGCTGAAGAACATTCCATTGCGTGTATATGCCACACTTTCGTGACCCATCCATTGGTGGATGGACATTTAGGCTCCAGGCCTTGGCTATGTGCCTAGTGCTGCACTGAGCATGGAGTGCAGATATCTCTTCAGGACAGTGATTTCACTTCCTTGGGTATGTACCCAGAGATGAGATGCTGGGATTGTATGGTAATTCTGTTTTTAATTTTTGAGGAACATCCATACTGTTTTCCATAATGGTTGTACCAATTTACATCCGCACCAACAGGTCACAGGAGTTCCCTTTTTTCCACATCTTTGCCAGCAGTTGTTATTTCTTGTCTTTTTTATAATAGCTACTCTGATGGCCATAAGGTGACATCTCATTGTGGTTTTCATTTGTATTTCCTTTAAAAAAAAAAAATCTTTATTTTTGAGAGTATTACATATGTCTCCTTGAGACTGAAACCCAGATAAATGCTTCCTCCAGCCCACCCTTCCCCCCATCCCAGGCCTTCACCACCCTATTGTCTGTGTCCAAGGGTTATGCATATATGCATACAGGTGATTTGTATTTCCTTGATGGTTACTGATGTTGAGCACTTCTTCGTGCACTTATTGGCCATTTTAAGTATCTTTGGGAAAAATGTCAATTCAGGTCCTCTGCCCGTTTCCTAACTGGATTATTTGTTTTGTTACTGAGTTGTATGCGCTTTTATACTTTGAATATTAGCCCCTCATCCGATAAATGATTTACAAATACTTTCTCCCATTCAGTCGGTTGCCTTTTCATTTTGTTTTCTTTTGTGTTTAGACGCTTTTAAGTTGACTATAGTCCCACTTGTTTGTTTTTGCTTTTGTTGTTTGTGCCTTTGGTGTAATGTGAAAAAAATCATTGACAAAATTAATGTCAAAGAGTTTTCCCGGTCGGTTGTATTCCAGGAGTTTTATGGTCTCCGGTCTTACACTTAAGTCTTCAATCCATTTTGAATTGACTTTTGTAAGTGGTGTAAGACAGGGGTTTCAATTTCATTTTTTGTTTTTGCACATGAATATCCAATTTTCCCAGCACCGTTTATTGAAGAGACTATCCTTTCTCCATCAATTATTCTTGGAGAAATAAGTGTCACTGGGCTATGACACTTGAATTTCCAATATTAGTTAACTCTATCTGTGTGGGTTTATTTCTGGGCTTTCAATTCTGTTTCATTGATCTGTGTGTCTGTGGATTTCTGCTTTTGCCAGTACCGTACTGTTTTGATTTCTGTAACTTTGTAATATAGTTTAAAATCAGAGAGTGTGATGCCTCCAACTTTGTTCTTTTTCAAGATTGTTTTAGCTGTTCAAGGTCTTTTGTGAATCCATACAAATTTTAGGATAGTTTCTTTCTATTTTTGTGAAAAATGCCTTTGGAATTTTTATAGAGATTACATTGAATCTATAGATGGATTTGGGTATATGGACATTTTAATAATGTTAATTCTCCTGATCCATGAACATGTGATATTTTTCTATTTATTTGTATCTTCAATTTCTTTCATCAATGTCTTATAGTCTTATATATTTTAATTCCTTGGCTAAATTTATTCCTAAATATTTTACTGTTTTTAATATTATTGTAAATGGGGTTGTCTTCTTTATTTCTTTGATAGTTTTTTGTTAGTGTATAAAAACATAAATGATTTTTGTGTGTTGATTTTGTATCCTGCAACTTTACTGAATTCATTTATTAGTTCTAACCGTTTTTTTGTGTGGAATCTTTAGGATTTTCTGTATGTAATACCAAGTAATCAGCAAAAAGAGACAATTTTACTTCTTCCTTTCTGATTTGGATATCTTTTATTCCTTATTCTTGCCTAATTGCTCTGGCTAGGACTTCTGGTACTGTGTTGAATAGGCGTAGTGAGAGTGGGTACCTTAATTTCATTCCTGATCTTAGAAGAAAATATTTCAACCTTTCACTGTTGAGTATGATGTCGCTATGGGCTTGTCATATATGGCCTTTATTATGTTAAGATATGTTCCTTCTATACCCACTTTTTTTAGAGTTTTTATCATGAAAGGATGTTGAATTTTGCCAGAGGATTTTTCTGAATTTATTGAGATGAGCGTGTGCTTTTTAGTCTTTCATTCTAGTAATATAATGTATCACATTTATTGATTTGTGTGTGTCATACTCTCCTTGCATCCCAAGGGTAAATCCCACTTCATCGTGCTGTATGATCCTTTTAATGTGCTGTTGAATTCTGTTTGCTAGTATTTTGTTGAGAATTTTTTTTATCTATATTCATCAGAGATATTGGCTTATAATTTTCTTTTCTTAGGGTATCCTTATCTGGCTTTGGTATCAGGATAATGCTAGTCTTCTATAATGAGACTTCCCTCATCTCCAATTTTTTGGAAGGACTTGAGAAGGATTGGAGTTAGTTCGTCTTTAAATTTTATTAGAATTTATCTGTGAAGCCATCTGGTCTTGGGCTTTTGTCCTTACTCATTTGTCTGTTCAGATGTCCTATATCTTCCATGATTCAGTCTTGGTAGGTTGTATGTTTCTCGGAATTATCCATTTGTTCTCAGTGGTTAGGGAAAGTTTTATGTCAGTGGAAGGAAATGTTCACCAGTCAAGGTCCATCCCAGAGGCCAGCTCAGGGCCAGACTTGCAAGCGGACCTTTGTAAGGACAATAGTCCGCACGCCCATTTAATCCTCTCGGCAACTGCAGGATCCAAGAAATTCAACAGCAAACTCATGGGGGATTCGCACTCAGATCCAGGCATCGGATTCGGCACCAGGCAAAGCTGGGTCTTTGGCCCTCCTGCCACTCTGCCTCCTACTCCCTGACTCTCTGTCCCTCCTTCCGATTCCCCTTTTTGTCCAAGCTGTGCCTCCTCTTCCTGATCCATCCCCAGTAACAAGCCTCCTGTCTCCTTACTTCGTCCCACAGACAACAGCTGTGCATTGAGGCACATTTCTCAGCTAATCCTGGGTCTTTTCTTTCCCAAACCGAACAACTGAGGGAGACAGTGGAGTCCCCTCATGTCTGCGGGTTCAGGTTCCGAGAAGCCAAGACTCTGAGACACATGGTTTCCTTAACAGGGGAGCATTAGTCCCATAAACGTCACCATCGAACCCTGGGGCGAACCCCTCCGTCACTCAGCTGAGTGTGATATCATGCGGAATAAAATTTACCCAATCCCTGTTTCTCATGTTCCAGGTCCAACAGTCAGCCCTGGGACAGGAGGTGGAGCGAGAAATCAGACTGCCCTCACAAGCTCATAGTCCAGTAAAAGCAGAGGCGACAGGCGTGAAAACAAACATTGCAACGCCTTCCCCTCTGTACAGCCCTCACCTCTGCACAGCACGTCCCAGGGTCCCTTGTCTGTGCTGTGATCTGATCCTCACACCCACGCTGTCAGGAGGGCAGGGTGGGCGTCACCGTCTGCATTTTCCTGATGAGGAAACCAAAGCCTCTTAGAGGGGACGTGACTCCCAAGACCACAGGGTCTGTGGGATGGGGATGGTGCTTGCTGGAAACCCAGCCTCCCCGGGACCAGCAGGGGCAGCTCAGAGGCCTCTGTCTTCTGTTTCCTGCCTCTCGTCCTCTTGGGCAGTTTTCAGGATCACGTTTGCCTTCCCCTTAGGTATATATCCCAGCCCACTGGGCTATGACACTTGGGACTACTCGAACCTGGACCCAGAGAGATTCCGGAGAGAAGGGTTAATGTCGAGAAGAAGACGATGGAGAAGGGGTAAGTCCCGCTTATGGACTTCTGTCCCCTTTGCCCCGGTCACGCCCAGCCACCATCTAGCTGGGGCAGGGAAAGGCCTTCGTATTGAAATCCTCAGGCCAGGTTCTCTCTCATGGATCCCCAAACTAGCCCCAAACTGACTGCCATGTGCATTTAGGAGCCACAGTTAGTCAGCGCAGCGTCATTGTTTGGGGGGGGTGGCGGTACTTTATATTATAGTAGATGCCAGTTACGGTCTGCCGTGTGCCAGGCACCACGCCCAGCTCTTCATCGTCTTTACTGAATCTTCACCACAACGAGCTGAAGGACACACTGAGTCCTCAGATGAGGGGACTAGAGTTCAGAGAAGCAGTTCCCCAGGCCAGCTTCCTCCCGCAGTCAGCAGGTGCAGACAGAGCACCGCGTGCCAGGCCTGTGCCAGGCAGACACGAGGATCCCCCGGGGAGGCCAGCACAGCCCCCGCCGCGCAGTCTGATGGGAGATACGGGCAACACGATGATGCCGCAGTGAACGGGCACTGAGACGGGGATAGGTGCTGAGTGGCACGGGGAGGGGCACCCAGTCCAGCCCTGAGAGGGACAGTGAGTGGCAGTTAGGCCGAGATTTAAAGGATGTGTGGTTTAGGCTGCAAACGGGAAGACGACTGTTCCAGGCAGAGGGAACAGCGGGTGAGAAGACCCAGAGGCATGCGGGGAGCAGAGAGGCATTCCTCTGGCGGCAGCAGGAGGACCGGGAGGGATAAGCAGCCCGTGGCTGAGGCAGGATTCAAACTCAGGACTGCGGAGTGTGGTCCAAGGACCTGCAGCCCAGCATTCCTCTCAGCAGCTCTCAACCTGTGGGCCGCGACCCCTGAAAATGCACCCTGCATGTCAGATATTTACATGACGATTCATGACAGTAGCAACATTACAGTGATGAAGTAGCATCGAAAACAATTTCATGGTTGGGGGTCACCACAACATGAGGAACTGTATGAAGGGGCCGCGGCATTAGGAAGGTTGGGAACCGCTGCTCTAGCTGCACCGAATCAGACTGCAGTCTACCATGATCCGCTGTGATCGACAAGCACGTTCTAGTTTGAGAAGCCCCGGTGCAGGGCACAGGGAAGAACATTCCGGACAGTCTTGGAGGACTGAGCGCGGCTGCGGTGACCGGCTGGAGATGAGCATTCCCGGAGCCCGGCCCCGCTGTGTGCCCCTCTCCTACGTGTTTACAGTTACTGCCTCACACGATAGGGTTGCTCTCTCCGCAGTGGTCATGGGCACAGGAGTTTCAAGGGGAAAAGAAAATCTAACCTGTGAATTGTCTTCAAATGTAATGACATTTCAGTTAATACTAATTTTAAATCTTATGAGATTGATAGGTTGTTAGTTTTTAAAGCATTTAACCCAACATTCATTCATTTCAGTTTTGCTGGGTTCTGAGGTTTTGGTTCTTCTTTTGAAGTCTTTTTTTTTCCTGTGCATTGAGTGCTCGTCCTGTGTACTCTGCATACATATTTCCTGTCATTGGTTCATTGGCCCTGTGAGGTGGTTAGTATCCGTACCTTTAATGGGATCAGAGAGGGTAGGTAACTTGCCCAAGGTCACTCAGGAAGTGGTTCTGCTTTGCCTGAGGCTGGTTCTTTTGCTGTTGGTATTGCCTCCAGGGAGGGGGCTGTCTACAGACCGAGGCTCCTGGTCTGCAGTGTCACCCAAGACATGAAGGAACTGAGGAACAACCTTTTCTCTTTCCTAGAAAAACAGATGTCTTTCCTCATTCCTAAGGCATACTCTTCTTACAAGATTGTCCGTAGCGGGAAAGTCTCCTGTTCTCAGGTGAGTGGGGAGGCACAAACCCAGGCCCCTTGGAGCCCCATAAGCTCCAGTGCCTTCCGGTCAGTCCCACATCTCTGCACTCCTCACCCCACCTTCTTGGGCGGGGGGGCCTGGATTTTCCCAAGTTCCAGAGCATGGGCACGGTGCGGGGCCTGGGCACGGTGTGGGGCCTGGGCACAGTGTAGGTCAATGGCAGTGCTGACCCAGATTCCTCCAGCTTGTGCCCCTACCTGCTAGTACTAGATCTCAAAGCCCAGGCCCCTCTCAGGTATTTCTGGGCATCTCCGGATTAACTCTCATGTTGTCTCCTGCTTTCCTGAGCTCTCAGCGTGCACAGTCTGAGCAGCAGGGTGACCACGTGGGGTAGAATGGTTCCATCTCTGTGCTGTGGTGGGGAGGGGGCCCCAGAGCAGTCTTAATATATATATATTATTGATTTCAGAGAGGAAGGGAAAGGGAGAGAGAGAATCATTGATTGGCTGCTTCCTGCACACCCCCTACTGGGGATCGAGCCCGCAACCTGGGCATGTGCCGGAATCAAACCTGGGACCCTTCAGTCCGAAGGCCAACGCTCTATCCACTGAGCCAAACCGGCCAGGGCGCAGAGCATTCTTATGTTACCCCCATCCCAACGATGTCACCTAGCCTCATACACTCGGGGTGGTTGCTGGTCACATGAGAATAGATAGAAAAGTAATTGGACAGTCCATCATGGGCAGATTGTCTTTGCAAATATCCTCCCTAGTCCTTACAACATTTCTGCAAGGTCGATAATGATTATCTTTTTTAAAAATATATATTTTTATTGATTTCAGAAAGTAAGGGAGAGGGAGAGAGAGAGAAACATCAATGATGAGAGAGAACCATTGATTGGCTGCCTCCTGCTTGCCCCAATACGAGCCCGCAGCCCGGGCATGTGCCCTGACCGGGAATTGAACTGTGACCTCCTGGTTCATAGTTCGACGCACAACCACTGAGCCACGCCAGCGGGCGGTAATGATTATTATTCGGCAAAGGAAGACATGCCTCCCAGAGCTAAATCACTTCCCTGGGCCCCACAGCTGACTTCCGCTGACGTCAGGACGCTGTCAGCCTGGGCTCCGTCTGCATCACTATGCTGCCTCTCCAACAAACAGGAGAGTCTAATCACGCAAACCAAGCCGGTCTCTGCGTTTATTCTCTGCTCTACTATCAGGCTCACTGAGGCCTGTTAAGAATGAACATGATGCTTCATTGACCCCTGGGAGTGTTTTCTCTCTAACAAATCCCAGTCACCACTTTAAACTATAAACATCAGTATCTGTTGCACAACCAGCTGCATAGTGTATGGGAAGTTCTTTCAGCTCTCTCCTCTCTAATCAAATATCATCTCTGTATATTTATATATATAAAAGCCTAAGCGACTGAACGACCGAATGACCGATGGACCAGTCGCTATGATGTGCACTGACCACCAGGGGGCAGACGCTCAATGCAGGAGCTGCCCCCTAGTGGTCAGTGCGCTCCCACACGGGGAGCGCACCTGAGCGGACTGATGCTGGGCTCACAGCTGGCGAGCACAGCTGCAGAGGGGCTGCGGGGCCAGGATGAGTGGGAGCGCATGGCGCTCGGCCGCCTGCTGCTTCGTACAGGACTACATCCCCCGAGGGGTCCCGGATTGCGAGAGGGCGCACACCAGGCCGAGGAACCCCACGGGTGCACAAATCTGTGCACCGGGCCTCTAGTATTTTTATAAAAGCGAAGTGGCAGTTGTTGAGACTGGTGGGCTGCTCGTCTGCCACTTGGTGGGCCATCTGTTTAGCATCACTAACCTCCTACTCATCCTTAAAGACAGAACCAAAGTGTCTCCTCTCCTTGGAAACCCTCCAGCTCTCCCAGCCGAGTGAGCTCCCCCAGACAGAACGCAGCATTCCCACTCTGCCTTCTTATGATGCGCTGCTCGCACTGCATCCGGCCTGCTATCGGTTGTGTCTGTGTTCCCTTCCTCTATAGGAGAGAACCTCTGATTTTCATCTGGGCACTTATGTGGCCAGATACAAGATTCCTTCCTAGCCTCCCGACATGGGTAGCCATTCGACAGACCCAGTTAATGAGATTCGGGAGGGTGGTGGGGAGCCTTACGGAAAGAGCACAGTGAGTCCTTTGCCTCTCTGCTGTTCTCTCCATTCTGCTCCCTGGAATGTGAGTGTAAGGGCTGGAGCGCTAGCTGCCATTTTGGACCCTCAGAACAAGGTTTCTATCCTGGGGAGGGTGGAGCCTTGTGCTGGAAGAAGTCGGAGGCCTGAAGGGCTTATCTCAGCAGAAATACATAGTGGGGCCTTGACTTACGAGTTTAATTCGTTCCATGACAGAGCTCGTAACTCAAATTACTCGTATGTCAAATCAACAGAGAACAAGTGAGACACGTGGTGCTGGGCTGATGTTGTGGCGTTCACTGTGACGTTCGCTGCGCCAACTAGCGGTGGGGTATCTGAAGCTGGCTCGTAACCCGAATTTTAGCTCACAACTCAAAGCAAAAAATAGGCCGAGAGACGGCTCATACCTCGAAAAACTCATTAGTCGGGACACTCGTAAGTCAAGGCCCCACTGTACAAGCCCTACACTGTCTGCCTTTAGGCTGATATGTGGGAAAGAAGTTCCTCCTAGTTTGAGCCACTCTGTCACTCACAGACACACCTAACCTTCTCTCCTAAACGCGTGACACTTTCCACACCTCAGCATGTCTGTCTGTCACTGGTCTCGCCTCTGCTAGCCCGGGCGCTCTGCAGGGACTGCGTTTCAGTGTCCCCGGTGCCAGGCACGGTAGTCGTGGCTCGGTGAAATGTTTGCTGAAGGAGGAGCGGTGATGGCACGGACAGCGGCCGCTGTTTCTCAGAGCTCTGCCCATGAGCAGCCACCCCTGCACTTTGCACGCGATAGCTGCCTTAGTCTCATAAGAACCCCACGAGGAAACCAAGGCATCGAGAATTCAGCGACGTGCCCAGGGCCGCCGGCTGGCGCAGCAGGTCCGGGACGGGAACCGGCGCCTCAGTCCCCAGCCCTCGCATTTTCTACATCAGCCTCTTCTCTCCACCAAGTTCCCGGGTGAAGGGCTGCGTTGTCAGGCTGTGCCTGAAAGCTCTCCCTCTACGAGAAGAATCAGAAATATCTAGGAAATAGGATGTCATCCATTAATTACAGGGCCAACTAATGGCCAAAATGGCATGTACCTTTTTGTATTAGTCTCACTGCCACTTGGACTGAATTTGTTATCCCCCCTCTCCCCTGCAGTGGACTAGTGGGCGTTTGAAAAGCAGGAGAAGCTGTTTATCCGAGAATTCAGAGGACACCCCACAATCACAGAACACCACGCAAGGTACAGGAACTAGCTAAACGGGAAGTGTCAGCTTCGACTCAGTGATCGTCTCCTTTCTTGAGTTTATTTCAACATGATTTGTCACCCTAGTTTGCTCCCTTCTAGCCTGGGCCCTGGCACCAAGTAATATCTTATGAGAAGACATAATTGTCTTTTCAGTCCAACAAGCACTGATTTAGTTCCACTTTTGTAGAGAACTCTATGATGGCACCTGAGTTAGCGTTACACTTACTACTTGCATGCCTTTTTTCTCTCACTAAAATATGAGTTTCTTTTATTTTTCCTTTTTTTAAAAAATATATTTTATTGATTTTTTACAGAGAGGAAGGGAGAGAGATAGAGAGTTAGAAACATCGATGAGAGAGAAACATCGAGCGGCTGCCTCCTGCACATCTCCCACTGGGTATGTGCCCGCAACCCAGGTACATGCCCTTGACCGGAATCGAACCTGGGACCCTTCAGCCCACAGGCCGACGCTCTATCCACTGAGCCAAACCGGTTTCGGCAAAATATGAGTTTCTTGAAGATAATCTACTTCTAGCACATAGTAGATGCTCAGTAAATGTTTCTTGGATCGGTGGATAGCTTAATAAATGGAAAAATCTATGGCAATAGGTGTATATCTGTAGAAAATTCAAGTTAAGTTGTATAAATGTACCTAACCTACTTCCTCTAGTATTTCCCAATGATCCGAATCCACCCAGGCATTTTTACATTAATAGGAAACAGAGATCTACCATGGCTGACCAACTCCCAATTATTATTATTATTATTTTATTTTTTATTTTTTTGCTAATATTACTTTGACAGATCATGGTGAGACTCAGGCCTTGAGGAAAGCTACACAAGTCAAGAAAAGATCAGAAGCTAGAATATATGAGAATATGCTTCCTAAGAAGGTGAGCACAGAATTGGAATTTAATAGTAGAGGTGATTTAAAAGGGGCCCAGGGATATGGCTACAAAAGCTAGCACTGTGGAGATGTCAGGGTAAGAATTTGGGTACTTCCAATGGTAGACTCAGGTGATTCCGCCAGGAAATTGCCTACGGCAGTGGTCGGCAAACTGCGGCTCGTGAGCCACACGCGGCTCTTTGGCCCCTTGAGTGTGGCTCTTCCACAAAATACCGACTTCTGCACATGGGCCACGAAGTTTCAATCGCACTGTACGTGCGCGCCCACACGTGGTATTTTGTGGAAGAGCCACACTCAAGGGGCCAAAGAGCCGCCTGTGGCTCGCGAGCCGCAGTTTGCTGACCACGGGCCTCGGGGTGATTCCTGGCTGAGGTGAGCCACAAGTGAAGTAAATGTTTTGTCTGGATTTCTCCGGGCGTTTAAATGCTTGAAATTCAGGAGCCTGGGTGTACTGGGAAGAGAGCACGGGGTCTGTTTGCTGCTCTATAAAATGGAGACAGTGGTTCCGCGGACATGGTGCTATGAGACTTACCTGAAGTGGTGGTGATAATTATCATGCAATAAACCCTCCATGCAGGTACTTGCTAACCCTGTGCGCGCAGTACTTGCGGTTTAACTGTCTCTGTCCCGTGAGATCATGACTCTGCCTTTCTTTAGTTTATTAGTGAGGAAGACGATGGTCAGAACAAGTACTCATTTGTCCCAGGTCACAAAGCAAATCAGGGAGAGAGCCTTGCATGCAGGTCTGTCCGGCCTGAGCCTGGGTTCCAACCGTGGAGCCTTGCACGGCACAGTCCCCGGAGCACAGGACCCCCGGGGTCGTGTTCTCTTCTTCTCCTCCCCGCCCCCCATGCGCCCCATGTGCCCGGTAGTTTCTGTCAGTGGCACCTGCTGTGCTGTGTAGGGGAGAGGGGCCCTTAGGGCCCTGCGCAGGGCAAGAGGTTGGGGGCTTTCCCAAGACACCACCGAGCAAAGGACTTAGACCATGGAGTTTGGGCCAAGGACAGCAAGCGTTCCAGGAGGCTTCTTGAACCTTCTTCATTTCTCCGTATTTATCACCACTGCCCGTTTCCTGTCCGCGCTTAACAGGAAGTTTTTGAGAAGTAGCAGGGCATGGTGGCAAGAACAGGCAGCGTGGGTTCAAATCTTGGTGCTGCAGCTCATCAGCCGTGCTTCTTGAGGAAGTTGTTTAACTTTTCCGACCTTTTCCTATAAAATTGGGGGAAATGAAGCCCAGCATTGTTATGGTTTCATTTTTATTTTTTAAATTAAATCTTTATTGTTGAAAGTATTAAATATGTCCCCTTCCCCCACCATTGACTCCCTCTAGCCCGTCCCCCTCCCCACCCCAGGCCTTCACCATCCTATTGCCTGTGTCCATGGATTATTTCATATAATTATTATAGTTCTTTTATATAAAATATGTAATATTACCTACTCAATCTTGATTATTTTGATCTATTACACCTAAAGCAATATTTTAGTACCAACTCTTCATAAATATTTTATTTTTATTTTGTTAATTCTCAACCAAGAATATTTTTCCCATTGATTTTGAGAGAGAGTGAGTGGAAGGGACAGGGAGAGACAGAAAGAGATTGGTTGCCACCCGCACTCACTCCAACCAGGGCCAGGGATCGAGCCTGCAGCCTAGGTACATGCCCTTGACCAGAATTGAACCCGAGACCCTTCAGTCCTTGGGCCAGCACTCTAACCACTGAGCAACCAGCTAGGGCTTCATAAACATTTTAATAGTGGCATGCTATTCAACAAGCACCAATTAACTATTTCTTTGGTTAGGCATAGTAATATCTTCTTGAACATTATTCTAACCTTTTGTTATAGTAAAACAACATCTTGGTGCCTAAGCCGTTTTTTCTTTCTTTTGGGTAACTTCCTTAGGATAGCATCCTAAAATGAGAGTTACCAGCTCAAAGGACATGAATGCCTTTACTTTTCTTTTTTTTTTATAAAGATTTTTTTAAAATATATTTTTATTGATTTCAGAGAGGAAGGGAGAGGGAGAGAGAGATAGAAACATCCATGATGAGAAAGAATCATGGATCGGCTGCCTTTTGCAAGTCCCCCACTGGGGATCGAGCCCCAAACCCGGGCATGTGCCCTTGACCGGAATCGAACCTGGGACCCTTCAGTCCCCAGGCTGACGCTCTATCCACTGAGCCAAACCGGCCCATTACGTTTCTTAATGCTGTAAAATTGACAGTACCCTTTATTTCCCCCCTCTCTCAGTCTCACCCTGCCTGCAAAATGCCCGAGATGTCTTCCAACCTCTTCAACATTTACGGGAAGAGTCCTCTGGTTGTTTACTTTCTGCTGAACTACGCCACCCTGCGGCAGTGTGGCCAAGACGTGCTGATGACCAGGACGGAAATAACCACGACCGTCCCATATCCTTCCCTGCTTCCTCTTCCCAGAGCACCCAGCCCTTCGTACAGTGCCTGGCACATAGTAGGTGCCTGTCAAGGGGGGCCACTGATAGAAGCCAAGGGTCAGAACCTTGCTCGTTTTAGTTCCACATCGGCCTCATGAGCTGGCTGCGGGGCCCTGGGCAAGCCGAATTACCTTGTGTAGAAAGCGTCTCCCCGGTACCAGGATGAATGGGCTAACCAGGTCCTCGAACATTGCAACTCAGTCACGCCTCCCGGATGCTCACTGACCCTGAGTGTGTGTTGGTCAGGAATTTGGGGTGTGTTTCTCCTAACACACATCCCTTCTCCCAGACACATCAGCACGTTCCTGGCCCCATTGACGTTTATCCTAAAGATCTGGGAGGAAGCTCAGATCTTAAGAAAACAGGTGTGTCATGTGCTGGTGTCCTGCGTCTTAGCAGTTTACCACAGAGGGTCAGATACGGATTCAAACAGACCTGGACTCGGGACAACTCAAGTGCTGCCCGGCTGAGTGAACTTAGACCTAAGTTCTAGCTCTCTGGGCCTCATTTTTTCGTCTGTAAAATGGGGATAACAGGCCCTCCTCGTAGGACTTTTGCAGAGTGCAAGCGCAATAGAGGCGAAGGCTGAGCATGGTGCCTGGCAGGTAACGAGTGCTTGAATGGTACCTATCTACATACAGCTCCGCACCAAGAGGCTGCCCAAAGCACTTCATATGCTCAGACCTCTTCTATGTCGCTCCATTTCATGGAGCTTTATTGTTTATGAAAAGCTTTTCCTTCTATCACCTACTGTTCTGTAAAGACAGTGTAGTGTAGTGGGAGGAGCCTGGCTGGGCACACACAGGCCTGGGACAGAGGGAGACAAAAAATTTTGACATACAAACATGAGCAAGGGATTGAGGCCTTGGTCCTGAAAGGAAAGAAAAGATGGAATTCCTTCCTATTCACCACTACGATAATAGTAAGAAGCTTAGATGACAGTGTGAAAAAAGTGCCCCTTCT